CATCTTACAATGGCTCCGTCTCTAAGGAACGGACTTCATGTTTCCATTTCTAATGACTTTAAGCAGGCTTTGTACTCAACTTGTTTTTGTGACATAGCTCTTTGTATCACTTTCCCCTTTTAACAGATTGTGTCCAGTAAGAAGCTGACCCGACCACTGGTGCTGAGAAATGGCAGACCCGCCGGGAAGGGCAGCATTACGGTAACAAGACCTTCATCTTTGGCTTCCAAAGATTTACGTCACAGGACGAGCAGAGCCTGTACCCGCCACGTGCCCTACAGCTGTGCTGTGTCTGTCCCCTGATCCGCGTGGGCCAGAAAGGAAGGCCCATGCCAGTGCGATCCCTTCCCTCCTCAGAGTTGCCGGCAGGGTCAGGGGCACGGCGGTGGTGCCTCCTCGGCCCATGGAGCGTACGTTCCACAGCGTCCCGCACCGTGGGCGGCCCCGGAGCCTGACCGGTCCCCACCAGCTTCCTGAGCCTGTGCCCTGCCACATAGCCTCCCACCTGGTTCTCACTGCCGAGCGCTGCCCCCGGCACATGAGTGTCTGCCTTCTCCTGTGTTAGGTCTCCAGTCACACAATGCCACGCTCTTAAGTCCCCTCCTGGAGTGTGTGCAGGGAGTCCCGGCCGGGTACTCTTTCTGATTTAGCTCTGAGAAGGGATGGCTAGCTCCCTGACAGCCAGCTGTGAGGGCTGTAGTGATCATCAGACACATTTCTCTGAGCAGCTGTTTGCTCCAGTTTCAATTTCCTGAAGCGTAAGAATACTCAGCCTNGCTTCAGAGGCCACATTCGAGGGGTGCTGCCCCCACTCTGGGGAGGAGGCGCCCTCCCACCGCCGACCTCCACCTCCTGGGGCGCCAGCTGGATGGACGCCCCCCAGGAGTGCGATGTGCTCCCTTTCTGTCCCTGGGTTCAGCCCCTAGTACTCTGCCTCGTCCCCGTCCTCCTCACATCTAGACTGGAGGTGGGGGGAAGGGGTCGGTGAAAGTTAGGCTAACTGGTATTTCTGGTGAGTCTTGAGGAGACATGACCCTGTTTGCTGGAACATCCGTAGAACAGGTCTGTGGCCTTGTCTACCCAGAGCCCGGGTTGCACCCTAAACCAATCACAGTGTCCCTGCGTGGGGGACTCCGGCATCAGAGCTGTGACAGCCCCCTGGGGTTCCGCTAAGAACCCCGCTGTACAGGGTGGGGGTGGGGAGAGCGTATTTGGGGTCTTATAGTCTCCAGTTTGGGTTTTAGCAGAAGCGCTTTGAAAACACTAAATAGCTCACTCAGTATTTTGTTAAATAAATAAAAATAAAATTAAGGTTGTAGTTTAACATATTTTGTAGCTGCATGCTACTTGGATTTTTTCTGAATGGTAAAATTTACAGTGAAGTGAAAAGAAAGTTAGTGTGTCTTACTTGCAGCCTTAAATACCGTGTTTTCTGTCATGCTCACGGTGAATGAGCCCTACCGTGGTGAGCTTCTGATGACGCGGGGCCAGTGGCACCCGAGTTTCCGGGAGGCGCTTCAGAGTCCCTTCTAGCAGGTTCTGTGGCGCAGCTTCCGGGGGACGCGTGTGCTTCTCCCGGTTCACGGGCCTCTCCTGTCCTTGCTTTGCACGCAGATCGCACGATGGCTGCCCAGTGCGTGACGAAGGTGGAGCTCAACATTTCCTGTGACAACCTTCTGGATAAAGACGTGGGGTCCAAGTCGGACCCTTTATGTGTGCTGTTTCTGAATACCAGCGGGCAGCAGTGGTATGAGGTAATAGGAAATACTGAAGGTGAAAAGCGAGCTGAATTGCTCCTTGGACAATTTAAAGATGTTAAAATAATAAAACCACCTCATCTGTTAATGTAGTTTCTTGGGCAGCTGGTGCTTGATTGTGGGATTTTTCATACACACGTAGGCACTTCCTTCTCTATCGTGCCTGCATTTATTTACATGTAGTACGTAGGATGTTAAAATGCAATCCAACTTTGATCTGAAGAGGCTTTTTGTTTTCACGGTGGATATAGGTTGAGCGCACAGAAAAGATTAAGAACTGCCTGAGTCCCAAATTTTCCAAGACATTTATAATTGACTACTACTTTGAAGTGGTTCAGAAGTTGAAATTTGGGATTTACGACATTGACAACAAAACTATCGAGCTGAGCGACGATGACTTCTTAGGAGAATGTGAATGTACCCTTGGACAGGTGAGTATGAGTCGCTGCCATACTGTGCTGTGTCCAAATTTGAACTGAAGAATTGGGCATTTTGATAAGTGCTCATTAGTTTAATTTTTAAAGTTGAAAACCATGTAAGCACTTTAAAGACGAGTTCATACGTTAGCGTGGCTGGCTTGGCATTACAGAATGAATGGGCGTTACTTTTCATGAGAGCCGAGACGGTGTTTCTGGCGCAGCTCACTGCCCTTTGAGTTGGGGAGTTCATTGCACATTGCAGTAAATAATACCGCTGCTGTGCTGCTTTTGGCTGTCACAGCCTTTGCTACAGTTCTGTTGTTACGTATAAGCCACAAAGGCTGGCAGAGCTCCAGCAGCTTTTGTCGCTCCACCTGGTGTGACTGGCACCGCCTAGCACCACGCCCCGCCCTGGCCCCAGGTCCACCTGCCCGTTCACACCTTTGTCCTGAGGAGCCTCCTCCAAGGCCTGGAGCCCTGGGGCGCTTCCCGTGCTCACTGGGTCCTCTCCTGCCTCTGCCGGAACACCCACCCTGTTTTAGCCTGGTTGTCTCGTGCACAAGACAAGTCTGGCCGGGGTAGGGGGGTGTCTGCGGGCTCACAGTTTGCTCCCGCGCAGTCTGACTTCTCAGGCAAGGTCACAGCCATGTGTATAGACTGGGAACGCTGTCAGGGGAGGAGTCCTTTTATTTTAGTAGGGGCAATTGATTGCTCACATTTGTCTTTTAAGAACTCATTTTCCAGTGTTGAATTATTTGGAGATGATGGCATTTTCTGTGTCTCAAGGACAATGTGGAGTTGATCCATCTTCTAAAACTTCGATAAATAGTATCAAAGGGAACACTGAAGAAGTATTTATTTTTTGGGGAAAAAGTCAGTGTGGCCAGAATTAAAATGAATTTAGAGATACACCTGGTGGGGAGTACCTGGGCCCAAACGACACCCTTGGGGGTTATGTGTTGAAGTTCTGAGTCAGTTGAGAAACCGGGTCTCTGGTTGAGTGTCCTGAGGCCTGGCCTGCCTTTCCCCTGCTGGGGTTCNCAGCTCCTCATTTTCTCGCTACAGATGGAAGCTGACTAAAGGCATGGGCGGTGGGCACTGACTTCCTGCCAGCTGTTGGAGGACAAGTCAGAGGCATTGTCACTGGCCCGGGCCCCTCCCCTGAGCCCCGCTATGCGGTAGCTCAGATAACCTCTTAGAGAGGATTTAGGAAGACGAGCACCTGCCTGTCCTCAAGGCTAGCTGCTTTGGCAAATTAATTCCCTGTAAATCCCAGAGATTCTTTTGTCATTCCTAACAAGGGTGAGAGGGGTGCTTTATGTTTTACTATTAATAAGAAGTCATCAATGCTGAGTCAACCAATGGAAATATTTGAGTAGCTAATAAAATAATAATCGCTACATGTCACAGCAGTGTCTCATCTATGCTGAGCACGCTACAAACCACCATTGTCAGGCGGTGTTTTAAACACCATCTCATAGGTGAGGAAATTGAAGTTCAGGTGGAGAATTTGGCAGCGCTGGCACACTCCATGGTGCGAAAGAAATGTGGAGGAAGCATCCTGACTCCAGAGTCGTCCCTGTTTCTGCCGCAAATCATCTGCCAGACGCCGCTTCTGGGGGGAAGGGTCGCAGTGAGCCGTGGTCCCTGTGTGCAGCTCGCGGTGTGGAGAGGGTGAGGAGCCACGCACACAGGTGACCGCGGTGCAGAGAAGAGGACCCGTGCCCACCTGCTCTGCAGTGTCGCGTGGCTTCATGGTGGACACGCCATTGGAGGGTCTTGAAGCTCTTGGCCGAAGCTGCTGGTCACGAGACTGGGCACAGGCGACCAGCCCCGAGCCCCTGGGAGCCCGTCAGGCGGGGCCCTGGCATCCAGTGACGTTTGTAATCGGAAGTGGTAAAATAATGATGTTCCTGGAGAGGGGACGGCGGCTGTGGGCAGAGGGTTGGCCAAGGGGAGATGGCGGATTTGTATTTCTGGGGCTATTTGCATTTCAGAAACCAAATGATTAAGACCAATGACTGTCCTACAAGTAATCTGTAATCAGCTGTTATCTGCGCCAGGGGCTCTTCCTGTCTTTTCTTGCTATAATCCTGCTCTTTGGGGAGTCAGATACCCGGTCAGCCTTTCCTCGCAAGCGCCTCCCTCTGCAAAGCTCCTGCTGTCCACACTCCAAGGGCACGAAACGTCTGTCTCTTCTGCCATGGAAACAGAAGCCCCACTGCACTCGTTAAGGCTGTCTGCCATGCGCTGGTAATTACACAGGAAGGAGACACAGCATCCCCCAGGACGCTGCTGTCAGCAACTCCAGACCGTGTTTATGTGAATTCTTCCCTTTGCCATTCAGCCCTAATGGTTTCTAGATAAAAATGGGGCTGCACTCAAGAGTCATTTCCAGGAGCGATGCTGCTAATGTAGGAAACTGGTGTCCTGGCAGCGATGGGGTCATGCAGCGGTCAGGCATTCACCGTGGACTCACGTGTGACTGGCACGCTGCTTCACAGCTCCTGTCTGAGCTGCTGTATGCGAGAGCACTGACTTCCACAGCTGACGTTTGATCCACAGGCTCTGTGTGAGCTGGAAGAGCCAGGAGCCCGGCACACGCCACACGTACAGACTCACTCGCAGCATCTCCGTGGCCGCTGCTGTGGAAACCTCGGCTCAGAGTAGAAGAGGGTCACATGGCCAGCTCCCGCTGCCGGAAGGACCCTCCAAGTCTGACCTCGTTCCAGTACTGTTGGGATCCCAGCGAGGGGCTTGGCGTGGCTTGGGACATCTGGTGCTGGCCGAGGACCAGGCCCTGGAGGCTCGGACCTGACTCGGCACCCACACGAGGAGCAGCAGCCTGGGAACACTCACTGGGCACTATTTCAGTGTGTTCTCTCCTTCCGTCCGCACAGCCTCCGTGTGGCATAGGGACCGTTACTGTTTCACTGTGTAGGTGAGGCCATGGAAAGGTTAGGCTCCTGTATTATGTCAGAGGTGGGATCAGGCGCGATCCCGGGAGGTGCTTCCTCCACGCACAGGGGTGGTGGCAGGTCGGTTTGGGGAGCGCTGCTGGCCAGGCGATGCCCGAAGCCTGGGGGTCGGGTCAGGGGCAAAGGTAGGTCAGGGTCAGGAGGGACTGGGTGGGAGGGTGCTCACAGCGTCTCGGTGGCAGGAGGCCAGCCAGGGATGGACGTCCAAGGACCAGGCGTCGACTCAGTTCGCGTTTGGTGGTGTCAGCTTTCATA